ACTCCATTCAGGACAATGTTGTGGCGGCCGCTTATAGATCGAGCTAGCTAGTTGCCATGTACTACCTTTAATTCGTCCCATATCTTTACTGAAACAAATGGTGATGTTTCACACATCAATAATGGAGTTGTGAATATAATCGCTTTTAATTAATTTGCATGATCGGTAGCTAGATCTCTATGCATCACATTCTAGCAATTGATATCCTTTCCAAAAAAAAAAATGAAATTAAATATAATCTTTAATCGTTGGAAACTTCTTTTAAGTTTTATCTCTCCAACTGCTACATAGATAGTGGATATAAATATCAAGAGAAGTCCCAAAGATTCATATTGAAATTCAATCGGAACTTCTCTCAACGCAATGGATTCAATCGGAACTTCTCTCAACTCAATGGCGCGTTGATCTAGTTTTCATCGGAATGAGGGGGACATGGAGTAACTATTAATGTTCCATAATTCAGATCTGTAGTCTTTGTACTAAGGCTTTCAAAATTCAAAGGCGGAGCCCTGCTTGCAATTAATCGGCCAAAGGAATTTAGAGAAAATGAGAAATGGTGATGAAACATTTTCTCACAATGTGATGGAATATGAATATCTGGCTGGAGAGGAAGAGAAGAATATTTCAGCAGCAAACAGAAGTTCCGATTAACCTGTGTGATTCATGGTAATTCAAGACACGTACCGCACAGATGGAGTTGCCTATCTCTGCCGACGAGAATTAACCTGTGTGAGATGTACAACATTTAGATGCCGACTGATAGTTGTTTTCTTTCTGTTCTTGTATTAGGACATGTAATTTTAACCTGCTCTGTTTCTCGAAAATAAAAAGGTTCCAGCTGTCAGATAAGAGAGGACTGTCAAAAACCGTAAATAAAGTAAAGAAATTTAATTAATTAAGATAAAATGTCCTCTCTCACCACTGAAAGAGTCCATATATATTATCTATTTTCTATCACTCCATTTGTTCCTTTTTTTTTGGGGGGGGGGGGGTGGGAGGGGGATTTGTTCCCTTCTCATCTTCACAATCTGTTTGTTATGACATTTTTTTATGATAAATTAAAAACTCATAAAATACATAACATTCAAATCATGTTGAAAAAAATTTACAGATGATAAAACTAAAATATTAAAAACTACCACTACATATAAACAGAGGAAGAATTAAAGGTCTCTTCTAGTGTATTCCCTCTAGTCCCAAAATAAGTTTAATTATAGAGTTTAAATATTGCCCCAAAATAAGTTCAGCTCTACCCTCCTATGTACTCGTGGTCAGCAAATTAAAGAAAATTATCCCTTCAATACTCATTACTTACCACCGACCAATACTACTTTTCCAATAATAAGGTGTATTTTGATCTTTCTCCTCCATACTAAATTATCCTGAGATGCATGCTAGGAACGCGTTTCTTTAGGTGTATTCCTTAGGCTGCATTTGGAAGTTCGGTTTAGGAACTTATCCCCACACACGTAAAATAAAAAATTCATTAGCACATAATTAATTAATTATTAGCTAAAAACTTAAAAAATAGATTAATATGATTGTTTTAAAACAACTTTCTTTTAGAAAGTCTTTTTTTTAAAAAAATACCATTTAGTAGCTCGGGAAACGTGCGCAAAAAAATGAATTAGTAAAAGTAGTAATTTGCACATTCAAACACAGCCATAGTCAATAGTAAACTTTTTATCAAATATTCTAAGCTGTGTTAAAAACGAATCCCTGATATCCGTGTACGATCTTGTACTAAGTGTCTAAGCGTTCAAGACTTCAAGATAAATGAATGTCACCTCATGAACTATGTGATCGTGTTTCACCTATCTATCTTGATTATGTCATCATTCATTAATTGCAAGAGGCCATATTATATTGTGCATGGCCAGGTCGACATTATATTTTGCAACCCTTGTGAAGAACTTTATCAGAACAATACACTACGTCTCACCAGATCCATAATGTAACTGACGTCGGCAAGAGATTAGCTAGTTTAAAACCGTTCGCTACTTTTAGATCTAAATCCATAAATAGTTACTAGATCTCTCTGGTCATACGTATTTGACAGCTATGATAAAATTTAGAAAATATTTTTTTGATAAAATTATAATTTCTCAAATGTTTAGTTTAAAAATGGTATGTGTATTTAAAAATACTATCGTAATATCACAAACTTATTAGATTTATAAACTTAGTCTCATACAAAATGATCGAAGTTTAAAAATTTTAACCAAATATTATCATTGTATTTAATATTGCCAGATGGAGCAGGCATGTCGATATATTTAAAAGAGCATCTCTCTATATCTAACTCCTATCAGTTTGTCCAATCGTCTTTCTGTGTTGATGCATGCTTGCACATGTGCGCATTTGAGTACGTTTCTTTCTACTCAGGTCCATCTCACATTTCTTTTTCTTATATTGTAGTTCATATCGAACTTTCAGTGGATTATATTTAATTTGTTCATAAAGTAAACTATGGTGTGTTGCCAGCACAAGACCCAAATGATTTGTTTAGCAAGTGGACAAACAAATTAATCCCAATCGAAACAAAATAGTCTTCCTAGGACGCCATCAGCATCACCTCTGTTTGGTGTGCAGGACATGCTTCTGGCAAAATAACCTGTACAGTAGTAGTGTTGTACCCATATTTAACTTCTTGCAACTACTCTCTCCATTCTAAAATAAAATATAATGAGTATATTAACATTTTACAAGGTCTTCAGCATTATTATCCTTTGATCATTGATTTTTTATAATATATTATCAACAAGTACGAGAACTAATTAATAACCTCATATGAAGATATTCTAAAACACAAATATAAAATGATACTATATATACGACACAAAACATTTAGTTCAAATATCAGTCGAAAATAAATAACAAGGACGTTTTATATTTTAAAATGGACGAAATATATATATTATAGCTTCTGCACCAAATATGTGCCTTACAAAACCTTCATATCCACCAATGGCAATACCGGTAATATTCGATGGCTAGTACTATTACCGGTAGAAGTGATCTGCCGTTGATTTGTGATTTCAACTAACAGTGAAGAAAATATTCTAGTATTCCTAATTGAATACTACTAGATTAGAAAATATGAACGGTCCAAGACCATATTTTTGCATGTGTGTCCTATTTTAAACAGAAAGCACAATCACTCATCAAGTAGTTGTAATGTAGCTGTACTAGGATACAATTTTTAAGATGATGTAATAATTCAAATCAACGCAATGTGTATACCAGACAGGTATATAGTACCACACAAATATTATATAGAATATGAAAAATATCCATAATATGCTAAAGTAAAAAAAAAAGGAAATAACCAGAATACACTAGCTAAATGATGCAATTGAAAAGAGTGGATCCATGTGGGAATATTGATAAGAAGGACTAGTTTGGTGATTGAATCTAATCAAGGAAAACATATATCCAAATTTCATATAAAAAAAGTAGGTTAAGAGCAAAAAAAATATCCATAAAAGATACCGTAGTAGTAGCAGCCTGCATGCTGATTAGTGTGTGCAACTCTACTCTGTGGAAGTGGTATCGTTTATTTCTATCTTTAGAAATGCATTATTATACGTTTGATTGTTGTATCTGCTATTATTTAGCATAGTGTACTTTTTATAGGTTTTATGCACGTGAAGAGAACAAAAATAAGACAATTCAGTGGATATGATCATTCTAGTCGTGCGATATAATTAACACCAATTAAATAATTTATATTAATTGATTATGCTTTATGTATAGGTGTTGGAAGGAGGAAAACATATATACTAGTAGAAATGTTGGGACATGCTTGATGCACGAATTTTGACTCCCTTGGAGAGAACAAGGATTTAATTGAACGTATAAGCAAATTTTGCTATTATCTATCGTACGTATAAGCAAATTTTCTCTCATATACCACATAAAAATATTTTTTTCTAAAGACTAAATATACCAGAAAAAACTTGAAACATATATACAAACTTCCATGTTGTGTAACAAGGTCACATAACAATTTTCATACTTTTTTGAAACTTCTAATGATATAAATCAATTGTTAATCTTTTATGTCTCTAAAGGTATTTTGGTGTTTTTGAAAAGAAGGCCCAGTCCAATAGTGTATTATAGAACAATTAATAAATTTGTCGGTATATTATAGAAAGAGACAATATCGATGACATATTGTTGAACTCGTACAAACTCAATGGTATAGAATAAATTCTCTCTAGCAAATAATATCTTATGTAGTGTATGAAAAATGATTTATATTAAAAACATCAATAAAAAAGTATTTTATATAGCATATAACAAATAAGTTATATTTTTTAAAAAAATATAAATGTAAAAAAAACTTGAAACTTCTATTCGAACTTCCATATTGTGTAAGGAGGTCACATAAAAGTTTTCAATTTTTTTTTGAAACTTCTAATATGATAAATCAATTGTTAACCTTGTATATCCATAAGGGTATTTTGGGTATTTTTGAAAAAAATGTCCAGCCTAATGGCGTATTGTAGAACAATCGATAAAGTCGCCGGTATATTATAGAAAGAGACAATGTCAATGGTAAATCGTTGAACTCGAACAAACTCAATGGTATAGAATAGATTTTGTCATTATACAAATAAAAAAAAAGAAATTAGCATGCATCATATGGAAATAAATATGTATATACCAACAAATGTAAGGGTGATAACTAGTAATAAGTTAATGTGTTACTGTCTACTTAGGTGTGTTCATGACAGAAGGTTGGGAACTTCTCTCCTACACACGCAAAATGGGGTGGCTATTAACGGATGATTAATTAAGTATTAGCTATAAAAAAACTTGAAAAATAGATTATATGATTTTATAAGACAACTTTTCTATAGGAATATTTTTTAAAAAATGTATTGTTTATAAGTTCAGAAAGCGTGCATGTAAAAAACGAGTGAGTAAAAGTTGGGAACATGTAGGATAGAACGCACTCTTATATGACATATAGGAAGCAATCACTACTGATACATATGAGACCATTTCGAAAAGTCAGAAATAATTAAAAAAATATTACTGACACAAGTCGCACAAGTTAAAAAGGGTTAGGTAAATCATGCCTGTTTTGACATTATGTCAAACACAAACATATTTTTTCATTTTCGTTGCCATGCATGGCTACTTGTTCCTTGTACTATACATGGGTCAAGAGAGATGGTCTTATGTGCATCATCATTCGTTTGTTAGTACACCAAATAGACCCATTATTACACTGAATTCATCCTATATATAGTGTCAACTCATCATAGACAGTGTGTTTCATATCTTCAACCTGCATGTATATATACTTAAAATTTATGGACAAAATTCTTCAAGGTTGTTGATTGTACCTTACAATACCAACTTACATATATAAATAATATAAGTAACTATATTTTTTAACTTAACTTGCTATCTAGCAAGCACTAAACTATTTATTTTGCATTCACCAAAGTTCAGTAAGCACCATATAACCACATATAATACAAAAAAACTCCATCTAAGCACCAAAACTGATCACAGCAACATGCATCAAAATTCACCTAGCAGAAACCAGATCTCACAATTGCATCAATCTCCCAGCTGTCCAGATCTAATGCTCCACATGCAAATGTGTCGAGCAGCTTGTGCATGTGTTCATCCTCCAACCCTAGTGCACTGTGCTCTGCCCCTATTATTGCATGGTAAGAACCAAGCTCATCAGAGCACACTTCTGCCAACTCTGGTGTGTGCATGTTCTCCATCTTTTGGCTATAATCGCCAAGATCATCAGAGCAGCATGTTGTTGAGATGCTTTGAGTGGTACTTGTTTCAACAACATGGAGAGGAGCATTGCTCATGTTAGTCTTGCAGGTGTGTTGTCCGTAGTAGACCACGGTGTACATGATGGTTTCGCCGGCACTGTCCAGTTGTTGCACTGTCTTGGTTGCTTTGCAGTTTTGTTCATGCTTGTAGCTGCATCTGTAGTAGCTCCTGCTTATTAATTTATGTTGCAAATTGTTAGTTGTGTGCTTGTGCCATAAGAATTCTCTTTGCCAAAACTTAATTAATTAGTTGCGTCGTATGTTGGGCACAAAAACGGAACCTTGATGTGTGTGTGAGAGAGAGATGAAATAATTGAGGTTTTGTGGATATATGTGTATATACCTTTGGTGGTTTGAGTTGTTAATATTCTTCTGTCCGTATTTTCTCCATTGATGACCGTCATAATGTGGAACAGCTGTGATTTGTGATGTTGAGTTAGTGTATCTCCTGCTGAAACATGAGGGGCAAAATTAATTCAATTAGGAAATATTTACATGAATAGAAACATAATGCTAGCTTCAAGACCAACTTCAAATCATCTACACATGCACACTCAAATAATTTTCTGAGGCAATTCAGAGTCCTAAGTGCAGTGCCAATGAGGAAAGACAATCCAAAGTAGATCAAGATCGAACTCACTTTATTAGGAAAGGGACCTTTCATATATAGCAACATCGATCAACATATATATAGGTATCTACAAGCAATATATCGGGATGATAAAGATATGAAGAGCAACATATGCTTTAGCTACTTGTGTCATTCACACACTCAACATTAGCTAGCTAGCTAGCTAGTGATCTTTCAAAAAAAGAAAAAAAAATAGCTAGCTAGTACAGCTAGTGTCATTACTCTTATAAAAAATGTCTCTATCCTCTTAATAGGTGACAATTAATCCAACTATAATATATGCAACTATGATTATTGCACACAACAATTAAGCAAGCTAAAGAACATGGATGAATAGCAACTGTTGTACAAATCACAGCAATTAGTCCAAATGAATAGTGGAAAAAAAAATGCTAAATCATACCTTCTCTTGTGCTCATGTGGCTTCACTTTCACCTGATCATCACCCTTCTTGCCCTCACTGTTCTTCCTCTTCGCCCTCCTTTTGTCGACGATCTCATCATCGTCAGGAGGTGATTCTCCGACGTAGCGAGAATTCAGAGCAGAGATCACCTTCCTGGAGCAATCCAGTATGCTCCCGAACAGCTGCGCCACGATCTCCGCCCGCCCGTCGTCGGCCTTCGTCTCCAGCGCCGGCAGCACGACGGCGCGCAGCTGGGTCACCAGCGACTGCTCCCTGACGATCTCGTCGATCGCCGGCCGGTGGTCGCAGCGGAAACATCTGGCGCCGTCGGTGGCGCATGGTGCAGAAGAGTGAGGAAGATACCTGCAGCTGCTGCCCTTGTTCTTCATCTTCTCTAGCTTAGCTTAAATTAGCTACTTCTTCTGATGTCTTCAGATAGCTGAATTTTATCTGAAACTTTGTGTGAGAACTGAAAGTGATTTGGTGGTTGTTGGATGGATTGGATCGGATCGGATTGGATTGCTTATGGTATGAGTGATCCTAGGTCTTGTGTTTGTGTATATATAGGGGTTCAGATGTGGGGTACCCTGCCAACTCTAATTTATTCGTCGTTTCACTTATGCTTATGCCTATAGACTATAATTTGTATTTTAAAACTTAATTTTGGAGTTGATTTTTTGATTTTTTTTTTTATTATGGTTTATTTTACAGCATTTGGTTTTGAATTGCTAAGTGCAGATATATAAAAGTTTTATCTATAAATTATCTTTTCTTATAAACTATATGGATAAGCATAAATATAAGCGAAACAATGGGCGATAAGGCTTGTGCGTGTAACTGTGTATTTGCATGTGCTGAAGAGAGTTGCATGTGTAGGTAGGAACTCAAATGTGGATATATGTGAAGAAAATTCAAACTTCTTGGTGTACTGTATGACAGGATTGATTCGCCAGATGTTGCTGTTCTGATCTGTTATAGTGTTAAGTTTAGTATATATGCCATGATTTCAGTCGCAGGTTGATGTCTTTAGTTCACCGAATGTACAATTTTACTACAATTGTACTTAACAACTCCTCAAATAAACAGAATTGTACTGAATACCATGTGTCACAACATTATTTGTACTAGTATTCCCTCTTATTTTACTTCCAACGTCATTTCGCTATTGTGCTGATGTTTTTTTAAGTAGTCTCTCCGTTCCATAGTGTGTTTTTTAGTTTATTCTAAGTTTGACCAAGTGTATAGAAAAATGAAAATCATTTTAAAACATAACGAATATACTATAAAAAAATATAGTCGGTGGTAGATTTAATAAAACTAATTTAGTATAGTAGATAGCACTATGTTTTTTCTATAAATTTTGCTAAACTCAAAAACGTATAGCACTAGAATTCCCTCTTATTTTACTTCCAACGTCATTTCGCTATTGTGCTGATGTTTTTTTAAGTAGTCCCTCCGTTCCATATTGTGTTTTTTAGTTTATTCTAAGTTTGACCAAGTGTATAGAAAAATGAAAATCATTTTAAAACATAACGAATATACTATAAAAAAATATAGTCGGTGGTAGATTTAATAAAACTAATTTAGTATAGTAGATAGCACTATGTTTTTTCTATAAATTTTGCTAAACTCAAAAACGTATAGCACTAGAATTCCCTCTTATTTTACTTCCAACGTCATTTCGCTATTGTGCTGATGTTTTTTTAAGTAGTCCCTCCGTTCCATATTGTGTTTTTTAGTTTATTCTAAGTTTGACCAAGTGTATAGAAAAATGAAAATCATTTTAAAACATAACGAATATACTATAAAAAAATATAGTCGGTGGTAGATTTAATAAAACTAATTTAGTATAGTAGATAGCACTATGTTTTTTCTATAAATTTTGCTAAACTCAAAAACGTATAAATTAAAACAAACATAAAACACCTTATAATATGAGGGAGTGCATGTATCAAAACAGTATGGATCACTAGAATTGCCTCTTATTTTAGTTCAGAAATCGTCAGTTGGCTATTGCTCTGAGGTTTCTTTTAATACGGAGGTACTACTCTCCGTCCTAAAAAAAACTCGATCTTGGAGATGTAACTCCTCCTAATACAATGAATCTGTACAGAGGGAGAACGAGTTATCACACTTCACATTGATAGTTTCTCAAAGTCAATATGATTCTTGGGTAATACTCCTACATGAAAGTGGCTCACAAACAGGGGCATGCCCAGTGAGATGTCAGTCAGAGTGCGGTGGTAGGAGTACATCATTATCCCTCAATGATTCTCATGAGTAGGTTCAGAAGAACAATTCCAGTCAACACAAGATTATTGGGTAACACGTTCAGTAACAGAGACTGTGACTGAAGACTTACTGCTGGAATGCGTTGAAATGGTTTAATCCTGACCAGCCGACATAGAGTACAGTGTCCCTTCAGACTTCAGTACACAAGTTCTCATGCAACAAAAGGTCAGGCATGGTCTACAACAAGGTACAGCTGGTTCACAAGTGATATAATAGTATTAAGCTAGTCATAAGCTCACAAATTTTAGTTCATTTTAATGCAATGGAAAAGCCAAGGCCCTGCAACAGATTTAGTCAATATAGGTGTGCATTTCTGCTTACGAGATATGGTTGAAAACAAAGGTGGTTCATCTAACTTGCCATCTCACAAAGTGAAGAAATTATCTCTACAATGTATAAATAAACATTTTGCAAATAGAGCTGTCATTCTGTCAATGCTGATCCATTCAATGGGAATGCATGCAAAGGCATGATCAGCTGCTTGCAATGTCAGCACCAGGCAACAAAATGGTAGGCATTTGCAGGTTCAGATGTCTCTGCAACCAATATATCTCCGTGTAAGACCCAACAGATACTGAGGTTTTGTCTTGATCATGGTCATTTTTTCCTCCATGGGGCCGGTGCAGAACGGCAGCAGTAGCTTCTGATTGTATATATTTGTATATGCATCCTTCCACATCCACACGATTAACAGTGAAAGAAAGCTTTGATTTTGACTTGGAATTCAGAGATAACAACAAAATGGGACCTGGAATTAATTCCGGTGACGAGATCGTGGTGACATGGGCAGGCTTGTGCCAGCATGACGACGGCAAGAACAAGTTGATGCTGACGATAACAAGCAGCCAGTATTTTTGACTGCCCTGCTAACCTCTGAAGAACATCTTGGGATCCAATTCACACAGCACGTCACGCAATCTTCTGGAAGTGGGTCAGGCCTCTCTGATTGACGCAATTCATGAGAGAATGTTTGGCCATTAAGAAATAATAATTGCAATTTAGCAAGCTAGCACAAAAACTTCATCTTCAGGTCACCAGCAAACAGAGCAATCTTCAGGTCATCTTCCAGCATCTGTTCCTCGTGTGGAAAATGGTCACCACGACTGGAGACTGACTGTGATATTTACATGGTAATAAAAATATCAGGTAGTGACAAAACCCAAATTCAGCAAGACAACAAACACTGGCAATAGTACAAAGAAGTGTAAATGAATAAAGGGTCGATATTGACCAGACCTGATTGTTTATCTGTCGAAGAGCATGCATCAGCATCACGACTGCAGAAGAAAAAAATGTCACTGGAAAACACCAGCTCTATGACCTTTCAAACCTTTTCAGGCATTAAGTTGAATATAAATGAAATATCTGTAGGAAAATATTTCCCATTCACAAGTTTCTTCTCCAGCTCCCTTCTACCAAATCAGCTCTTCATTAGATCCCCAGGCACTTTTCAGAAGTTCTAGACGTACATGTCACAGTGTATCTAGTGCTAATGTATCAGTAACTAAAGTAATAATATGATAAACCTTTGTAGATTAGTACTGTCGCTAGTGTTCTCCAGGAATTTTGCAGTTCTTACCATCACAACTTTTTTTCTACAGAAATAATCGTCAGTGAATGCAATCCTTACAATTACAACAGCTCAATATCTTACGAACAAATGTGAAGGCGACAAAGTCAAATCAGTGCAAGGCATCCTGAAAACTGTAAAGGGGCAAACATTATTCAGAATTCAACATTCTTCAGGATTTCTAGATGTACATGACACAGGGTATCTGATGCTAAAGTATCCTGAAATCAGTAGCGAGACATCCTGAAAACTGTGAAGGTGTGACATTTTTCAAAAGTTCTGAATGTACGTGGCACAGTGTATCTAGTGCTAATGTATCCTGGAATCAGTAGCAAGACATCCTGAAAAGTGAAAACTGTAATAAAGGTGCAATATTTTAGGATGTCTGAAAGTACGTGGCACAGTGTATCATGTATCCTGGAATCAGTAGCAAGACATCCTGAAAACTGTTGACATGTCTGAAAGTACGGGCCTTTCATGTAGTTGTCAGAACTGACATGGTAACCTGAAGCAACTTTTTGTAACAAGATCAACCCAGTAGATTTCCTACTAGGTCTCTTCCAAATAAAAGGATAGGAAAATTTCATCGTTTAGATGAGAAAGTGTCCATTCTTTTCAACACAGATGAAATTCATCACAACTAACAAAGTATCGTGTGCCAACTATTTCAAGCAAATTAGGGACTATGTAAGTTGTAACAATTCTAGACCCAGAAAGCAACTAAGTTCATGGCATCCTAAACCATAGTATATTATACTATATTATAAACAGATATTAGCAACATCAATTAAGATTACTAGAAAGTTTACCAGACTATATAACCCAATGAATAAAATATAATACTAAGAACATTCTGAATTCAAACTAGGGTTCAATCGAATTACATATGGTTATGCTAGTAGTACCAATTTAGACCTGACAGACAAGACTCAATGGTTTATTCTGATGTTTCAGTGACATTGGATGATTAGAGTACTACAGCCCAAACAGAGAACAGTAATAGAATGAAGCAAAAGCGACACATCCTACATGCATGCATTGGCACAAAACTTTGCTCATGACTATGCACAGTTACAGTACAAATTAAATATTAATAAGCATTTCATAGAAGTGTTACCTCAGGAACAAAATTCAGGCTAGAAAGAAAATTGCAAAGCGTCTTCTGAAGATTCAGCACAGCAATCATGCAATTGGAGAAGTAACTGTAGCATAACAGAATAGCTCCACACAGGATAACAAAATATGCACAATAGAAATAACCATTCAAATCAGTTTTAGGAGAAGTGTAAACTTTGCATCAGGCAGAAAATTTGTCAGGGTGAAAAACTAATACAACAGACAAATCATATGCTTAAATGCCCACTTTATTGCAAAAACTCTGTCTAATTTGAGGTATATTGACAGTATACCTAATACTAAGAATCACTACTTAAGTATCTATATTCTATGGACAGCCCAGGACACAAACCAGTGATCAGGGCACCAAGTCACAAAAATGAGCTGAGAACTACGAAACCTTCAGAATAAATTCTGACAATAGAACTGCTTAGGAACTGCTTGCACATTGCTCCGGACAAATTGAGAATCACTCTGATGGTTTTGGTTTATCCCCAGAACACGACAGCATTAGTAAGGTTTCCGCTGCCTCAAGCATCTCGGATGGCCACTTCTTCTTGATTGCCTCTGCCACACTTGAAGCACTCTCCGCATCATTTGCATCTGTCTTCCTGGAAGTCAACTCCTCCTTGCTTTCCTCTGTCTCCCTGGAAGTCAACTCTTTGCTTTTCTCTGTCACAGTGGAGTTTGACTCCACCTTCTTCTCCTTAAGTTTTCTGTCAAGGACCTTCTTCGCCTTACCGGCATTCCCATAATGCAACAATGTCAGCGCAAGCTGCCCCTCGAAGCGAAACGCACCCAGCTTCACCAAATCACCTGGGATCATGTGGCTCATTTCCAAGAAATTCCTCCACTGTACAATAAGTCTGTAGGAAGTGGTGGAGTCGAGATACCTCAGGAACATGTCATAGGAACAGCCATATCTGTCAACGACCTCGATTGGTAGCCCTGAACTGTGCACAAGGGCATCCTCCAACGGTGTGAGCATCCCCAGAAGCGGCGAGCCCTCCACCGCGTGGCGCGAAAGCAACAGCCGGGCCTGGTTGGGATGGCAGTCAGTACTAGATACATTCTTTGAAAGGATCGGTGTCACACTGGTGATGTTGATCCCCAAGCTTTGCAACCTGATGGACAGGCCACTGATGTGGCTGTCATCAGAACCAACAATAGAGGACATGCAACTCTCACGAGGCTCCTTCTTAATCTCGCAATCAGATTGATCGGTGATCTTGCCATGGGCAGCCTCTGCTTCTTGGCTATGGAGATTCTTGAGCTCATCGGAAACAGGCACGGCAGTAGCTTGCTTCATGTGGATTCTCCTGGATTTTCGGACATTGTTCTTGCCATTGCCACATGAACCATGATTCACCAGTTCTTGCATTTTGGTGAGCACGGAATCGACGGCGACACCAGCACCGTCGGCGATTGCGGCGGTGGCAGCTTCTGGAGCCACCTGGCCTGCCTCTTGGCCGTGAAAGGCGACGGCGAGGTCGCGAGGTGTGATCCTGTCGCCGTCGCTGCCTCCCGGCGAGATGAGACACCTCTTGCGGCGGCCAGCTGTGTAGACGACACGATACTTGCCATCGCCATTCTCACCCTCCCCAGAATTCGCCTTTTCATGGATTCTTGGGGAAACTTTGCCCGGTTCTTGAACCAACTGAGGCAGCAACTCGACGGCCACGACGGCCACCTCGGGTTGTGGGACGAGCCCACCAAGTCCTTCCACAGCGATCACCGGCCCCAAATCCGCACCATTTTCTTGGTCCCCGCTATCCACGGCCCAACCAGCAGCGCCTCCTTCTCCCGGCGACGAACCGTGAGCCTCCTCGTCCTCCCACTTCAAGGGCGGTGCCGGCCGCAGCACCGACCGGGACGCCTCGTCGGAGGAAGCGACGGTCATACCGACCGATCGATCGAGTTCTTGCGGCGGCGGAAGGGGGGAGCCCACCAGGTGTTCGACGAAACGCCCAGACCGCGAGGAAGAGCGGCGCGTGATGAGGCGGCTACTACTAGCTGAGGAGGAGGGAGGCCGCGCAGCAGTGCTGAGGCCAAATCTTGCGGCCGCGAAGCTTGACGGAGCGCCACGGAGAGGCGGTGAGCGCTGAGGGCATTCCTGTGGGGGTGGGGGGGGGGGGGTGGGGGGCGGCGGCGGGGGTTGGATAATCGCGGATACGGTGGGGAAGGGGATGCGGATGGAGAACAGAAAAGACGGCGGATATATATAGGCTAGGCTTCCGAGGTACTCCTTCCATCTACTTTTGATAATAATATTTTATTTTGACACATAGATCAACGATAAGTAATTCTACTTATCATCTATTTAAAGTCATTCCTCGTAAACAAGCGATTCATTAATGTTTACATTTCTCGATGCCCATGTAGTCAATCTCGTGTGGAAGAATAGAAGGTCATGCATTAAATTCGAGAAAATCATTAAGATGTAAGATGATAGGTTGTTGAATTGAAATATGCCTATCAAAAACAAATTGTTTTTCAGATTTCGAAATATGACTATCAAAAGTATGGAGGGAGTATATTTGGTTTTTATTTCTTTATTATTTTCTTAATGCTTTTTTTAGACGAGGAATCAATATGGTGTTATGGGCAGCTTTATAGTTGGATATTAATTGAACAATAATTTTTTCGTAGACAATGTCAACCATTTTCTTCGCACTCCGTCAGGAAAAAAAACCCTACTCCCTCCATCTATTTTCAAATCTGAAAAATTTAGTTTTAATTGGCATATTTCAATCATATCCTCTTAACAACTTTCTCGGATTTAATACGTGTCTCTCCATTCTTCCACACAAAATTGGCTACATGGACATCGAAAAATGTAAATATTAATGAATCGCTTGTTTACGAGAAATAACTAGTACTCCCTCTGTTTTCAGGTTATAAGACGTTTAACTTTAGTTAAAGTCAAACTACTCTAAATTTAACTAACTTTGTAGAAATAAGTAGTAATATTTACAACACCAGCATAGTTTTCTTAAATATATAATTGAATAAATTTTCATAATATATTTGTCTTGAGTTAAAAATATTACTATTTTTTCTACAAAATAAGTCAAACTCAAAGCACTTTGGCTTTGACCAAAGTCAAGACATCTTATAACTTGAAATGGAGGGAGTAGCATATTTAAATGGATGATAAGTAGAATTACTTATCCTTAGTCAGTGTGCCAAGATGAAATATGACTATCAAAAATAGATGAAGAGAGTATAATTTAGACAGAAGCATAGCCAGATTTATATTTTGTGGGACGGATAAAGTACATGTCAATAAGAAAATGTGAATAAGGAAAAGAACCAACCAAGAAGTAAAAAAAAATAGACAAAATTTGCTACAGGACATCCAAAAAAGTGTAATTAGTTGGGGACACCATAAAAACGCGTATCTGCTTTAGGGCATGGCAAAAAACCGGTAATTAGGTGTTGGACACTTGCGGTATTATTTTATTATTTTCGAAGTAATAGGAGAAAGAAATAACCATTAAAGTTAAGTTTGCCCTTGGTCGAACTTACTTCAACCCGACTTGGTACGGTTCAAACCAGCCACTAGGCCTCTTGCAGTAAATCGATCCCCATCGCAAACCTGTAAAATTGACACGGCAATGTTTGCACTAGATCTTCCAGAGATGACATGGTTGCATGAATTGCTGAAATTTCATAGTAAAGAAAACATACCCATCTTGAGTGTCACTCTTGCAGGTTGCTCGCTTCCTACCAATGGAAATACAATCCAAGCTTATGCCACGGCAATATCAAGATTGGTGGATCACATTATTGAGCACTACACATGCCCTCTATGATCAACAAAGAGAACTACATTAGTGGGGCAAATGGTTACTGAAGTGTATAATGATGCTACGATTTCTTTCAGAAGGATAATGTTGCTACATTTATTAGAGGAGGTGCACAAGGCTGTACTGATGGTGGAGTTGAATACAATCGGTGCAAACTTTCAAAATTCACTATAGTTTGTTCACTTGAATTCGATTCAGCCAAGGACATTGATCTATTGTTGATGTAATTGGTAGAAGCATGGATGGTCATGGTCTACAAAGTCTGGTTATCTGAAGCTAATACACAAAATGGTATAGCTGCTATACTTGAGGCCATCCTGGAGGGTGTAACACCCAGGTATTCTCTTACCTAGGGCCTGTTTGGTGCAGCTCCCACTCCTAGATTCGCCTCAGATCTGACTGGTGCACAACCAAACAGTCCAGCTCCACAAAAAAATGGAGCGGAGTAGGCCGGATCGATCCACAAAATTGTACTAGCGGCGTGGAGCGGCATTCCCGTCGCTCCACAACTCCAACTCCAACCAAATTTCAAAAGTACCCCGAAAGTTGAACCAAAATTACCAGCAAATGCCACCAACTACCCCTCCATCTCTCCCCCACCCCCAGCCCATACCGCTTCCCTCCCCCTCTCCCTCTCCCTCTCCTGTCTCGCTGACGGAGCTCGTGGCTCCTCACCGGGAGACCGCGCAGGCCCCCCTTTGCCAGTTCGGCCGGGGGCTTAGGGTGAGATCTCAAGCTCTCTCTGTGTGTGGACAGATTGCGTGCCAGGAAGAAACGCGAGACACTGGCGATGTATACAGGTTCGGGCCGCTGGGAAGCGTAATACCCTACTCCTGTGTTTTGGTGGATTTGTCTGTGGAGGAGCTACAAAGTGTGAGCCGACTTATCCCTTGTTCTAGGCTCTCAATCTGGAAAAAAAATCCCCCCTCTTTGTGGGCATGGTCCTCCTTTTATATCTTAAGGGGATACCACATGTCCCCTCTCCCTTCCAAACTGCACTTTTCTTCTCTTTATGGACGGAGGTTGGTATGGTTGCCGTCCGAATGACACTTCGATGGGACAGCCCACACCTACCTCCACTCCCGGCGGAGACAGGCGCAACGTGGGATCGTGGCTGTCTGTTGCTGACGCGACCAGTGTCAGACCGGTCACAGATCGGTCATTCTTGTCCTCTATGCGTCAGTTCGGCGATCTGCATGATCACCCTTCTTTTTGTAGCATCTTGCCTGTAATGGTTGGGATGAAGCCTGGTATTCATCTAACCAGGGCTAACGTGCCATCTCTAAGAGGTAACACGCTAGCTCCGGCTGGAGACGTGTGCCTAGAGGCTCTCGTCTTGACGGGACGGGGCGAGGCGTGCGTCAGACCGCCAGTCGCCACCTAACCGTTGATCTGACCGGTCTGTGACTGGTCACAGACCGGATAAAGGAGCGCGCTGCATTGCGCTGCATGCAGCGTGACACGCTTGACCAGACCGCAATAAATGCGGTTAGGTGAGCCCTACCGTGTTCACCCAACCTATGTACATAGTGCAAACCCCACAAGGGGTCGGGGCACCTCGGCCCTCGGGGCCGGGGCAGGAGCAACCCGACCCCCCCTCGGGGAAATCAGGAGGAGGGCGGACACCTCACCCTCGGGCCCGACGTCCCCGAAGGTGCCAGGCCACGTGGGCGATTCCATCTGCCTCAAGCCTCCGGGCGCAATACTCCCGGTCCCATATCACCGACAGTAGCCCCCGGCGTTATGTCAGGGCGATCATCCTTCTCAAGGGAAGCGGTCGGGCATGACGCCACTCATAAAGCCTGGTGACAGGTGGGACCGGTCTCCGTGATTGGGCAGAAACCCAACGGTCTCAAACCACGCATATCGGTAACGGTGTCTTGGCCGTCAGTCATGGGCGGTCTCTTCAAGACTGCCACATCACTTGAGCAGCGCTCGAATCTGGGCGTGCAGATTCGTTTCGTCTGGAGATATGGTAACGTCGCTTCGGTCGGCGATCGTAATTAACGCGCACACGATACGATCTATCTCGACTGCCACAACCGCATATCCACCTCATGCGCCGCAAGCGGGCGAATGGAATTAGTGGAAGCGTGGGCGCGAGAAACGAGGGAGCGAGATAGCGAGTAACGAGGGAGCGAGATAGTGGGCACGAGAAACGAGGAGCCGGGCTCAGCGATGGGAAGGGTATAAAGCCATCGAGGAAAAGACTTGCTCCCTTCCTTTCGCCACTATTCCCCTTTCCTTCGCCGTTTGCGCCCTAAACTCTCTCTTTGCTGCGCCTCACCTTCGCCACACACGCTCGTTCTCAACCCTCTCTTTCTCCGACGACATGGCACGGGGCTCCGCTCTGCTCGACGGTAGCGTACTACCGCCTTCCCGCATTGTGGGCGAGAGGCAGGCTGGGCTGCCGCGCCGCTTCATGCCGGAATCCGCCACCGGCCGGGAGATAGTGATGCTGGGCGAGGCGCGCCCAGCACCAGATTACCCGGGGCGGTCCATCTTCTTCCTCCCCTTCGCAATGGCTGGGTTGGTTCCTCCTTTTTCTTCTTTCTTTATGGATGTTCTGGAGTTCTACGATCTCCAGATGGCGCACCTCACCCCCAACGCAGTGATGACTTTGGCCATCTTCGCGCACCTGTGCGAGATGTTCATTGGGGTGCGCCCATCTCTTCGGCTGTTCCGGTGGTTCTTCACCGTGCAGTCGGTGTCGCCGCCGTCGGTGGTCGGTGGTTGCTACTTCCAGCCGCGGGGGCCAGTGTTGAACCGCTACATCCCCTGCGCCCTCCGCAAGAAGTGGGACGATTGGAAGAGCGACTGGTTCTACACCCCCCTTGCCAACGAAGCGCGCCTCCGACTCCCAAGCCAGCCCCCGGCGCCGGTCTCCAGCTGGCGGGCGCCAGTAGATCTGGGGGATGACTATGACGCCGTCCTCGACCGCCTGGCGGGCCTGCGATCTCAGGGGCTCACAGGGGCCATGGTGTACGGCGACTACCTCCGTCGCCGGATTGCGCCGCTTCAGCGGCGCGCCCGGAGCGCATGGGAGTACACCGGGTCCGAGGACTACATGAGGACCCACCGGGGAGTCAGATGGGATTGGGCTCCCGATGACTTCAAGATCGTGGTCCAAAGGGTGCTGAATCTTAGCTCCGTGGAGGCGTCTCTTATTCCTCAAGGACTCCTCCCCCTCTGCTGCGATCCAGACCGCGCCTCCATTCTGACCATCATGATGGGGGTCGGGGCCTCAGAGGAGGTGGCTCCTAAGGGCCACGACGGCGCCGGCGGGAGCCGCCAGGAAGAATCAAC